ACATGAGCACCCACAAGACAGCCAGGCATTCGGGCGCGGTGCTCGTCGCCAATGATGGCGCAAGCCTCATCGCGCTCCTGCTCACAAGTTCCCCTCTCAGCGCCCCTCAATAAAATCCCCCCCCTTCCCAATGGTCCCCGCCCGCGCCCTCCCCCCCCCTCTCCGATAGGAGGGGCCGCCCGCGGGAAAGTGGGCGGCAGTGGCCTCGTCGACCGCGCCGCGGCGAGGCCGGGCCCTCAGCGCCACCTCGCCCCCCTGGCCCAGCAAGCCCCTGGGCCCAAGATCCACGAGCCTCAAGAGCTCGGAAGCAGCGCTATCCGCTGCAATTGCTGGTTCCAACATGGGCAACGCTTGCTCACTAAGCTGCGCTGGTGCCCCTGAATGCGAGCCCCCGTCGGCCTGCCCTGGAGCCTGCTCACAGGACGTCTCACTCGCTTCGCACGCCATGGTCACAGCTGCTGAAGGAGATACCGCTCTTCGCGACATGGCTCCATGCACCGGCCGCTTGATTTCTCTCCGCATGTCGATCGCCGTCCAACCTCGAATTATTGCATGTATTTTGTTTGTTTGAGAACTGACCCCCAATCCTGGATATAAACCTCTGCCTCCTAAAATCGATTCGGGACCTGAGGGGCCTATACTGGGTCCCAGGTGTTTGAATGCAGGAGCATTGCGCTTGAAATCTGGTGCCCAGCTCACCTGTTTTCTCACGCGCCGCCCCTGGCCCCCCCTCTCGGCGCTCTTGTAGGCTGGGCTGCGGACGTCCGTTGGTCCGCTCGGCGTTGCACTCGCCTGCGTCGCTGCAATTCTCTCCGGCCCCGCCATGGCCTGCTCGCAGGCCCCCTCGGCCACGACACGAGCTGCCTCTATCCCGGCCGCCTCGCGCTCGAGCTGCGACGAGGTCACACGCGAGATGTCTGTCTCATTCTTCCGCCCTGCCGTGACTGACTCCGTCGGTGCCGCTGCCGCCAGGCACGGATCCTCCAGCATCATGGCGCGCATCGGCTCTGTGGGTGTGATGGGCGCTGCTGGTTGCAGAGGCGGCGGCGGCTGAAATGGCTGCGTCGGCACCCATGGCCTCGGCGCGCCTCCCGTCTCCGCAGGCTCCGTCGGCGTACATAAGTTGATCTCGTCCCGCCAGGGTGGTGGCGTCCTCTGGCCTGGTTTTATGCTCGATGGCGTCGGCTGCGGTGGCATGGCCTGCGGGGTCGCCGTGCCCCACGCCCCTCTTGGCGATGTCACTCCTCCTGAGGTGGCCTTGCCCACTGGCGTGGCCGGGTTTGGGACACCGCCCTCCACCCTCGGCGGCCCCGCCGCCGCTGCGGCAAACCCCACCGCTGCGGCTGCTGGCTGCATCTGGTTCGGCACGGTGGACGGTTCATCATATGCTGGTTCTGCATATGCTGCTGTTCGCTGGCTGTCGGCGCTGGCGCGGCTGGCGGCTGGTTGGCGTGCGGGACGGCTTCCCCCGCCTGTGGGCAGACGCATAGGATGGACCACTTGCTGCTGCCATGCCATAGTTTGCAGGCTCGCCACTGCCTGCGTGTATCTGCTCGCCTTCCTTGTCGTCTGGCATATCTAGCAGCTCGTTCATGCAATTCTTCAGCTGATCCAACTCCGTCTCGATCTCGCGCTCCTGATCTCGTAGGTCTCGTACTCTGGCTTGTGTTGCCACCAGTCGATATCTCGCTTTGTCCTGCTTGAACGTGGGCAGCGCTGTGAGACACGACTTCAGCACCATCAGCTCCATGTCGTGTTTCCTCGCGCCCTCTTCTTTGGCAGCCCGTCTGGCCAGGATGGCCATGCTGGCGATGTCATTCGTATTGTTCTCGACCTCGGTCCTGTACGATCCAAGGTCTGTCGCCCTCGCTGGCGGTGGGCAGTACGCGCTGTGCGTTCTGGCCGCCCGATGTGGCATGGGCGGCATATTCATAATGTAGCTGCGTATGTGGTGCTCTTGCTGTTGCTTCCCTCTGCCTCCAGTTGCACTTCGTGTTCTCTGGCCGCTTGGACGAGGCTGCTGGTTCCAATACTGGCCACATAGACAGCGATTGCGATAGTGCTTCGTACTCCTCGAGCAATTCTGGCATCTCCAGGTCATGGACATCTCTCTGACCCCCGCCTGCGCGGAATGATGATCTGCCAATCGCCGGCACGCAGTCTATCGCCACAAATAACCGTGCTTGGTGACGCGTTGCCCTCAGGCACACGCCCGAGGTCAAGCCTGTGAGTTCAAAAAAGAGGTTACAGAACTCAATCCACACCCTCTCCTCCTCCTCCGTCTCTTCCTCCTCCTCCTCCGTCTCTTTCTCCTCCTCCTCCTCCTCCTCCTCCTCCTCCTCCTCCGCCTCCTCTTCCTCCGCCTCCTCCTCCCCCTCCTCCTCCGCCTCCTCCTCCTCCCCCTCCTTCTCCTCCCCCTCCCCCTACTCCTCCTCCGCCTCCTCCTCCTCCTTCTCCTTCTCCTCCTCCTCCTCTTCCTCCTCCTCCTCTTCTTCTCTGTTTGCAGCGGCGGCAGCGCTGAAGCCCGTGCGGAAGGAGGCACACTCGCGAATCGCGGCAAACCGCCATAGGTCTCCGCGCCCCGCTCGTGACGAAGCAGGGGAGGCAGAGGATGGAAGCACGAGCGGAGAGAGGCAAAACGGCAATGAGAACGGCAATGCTGATGACCACACGTGGTGGCTCGTCTCCCTGGGCGGCCTCCGTGGCTCTGTCTTCGCAGCGGCGGCCCACGGGGCGAGGAGCCTGGCTCCCGGGCCGTACCTCGGGCTCCCGCCGGCCGCTCCGGGCGATGCGGAGAGCACCAGGATGTTTCGCCCCGCGGTGTAAGGACGCCGCGGTGGATTGCTGCAAAAGTGCCTTGTTCCTTTCGTCCCCGCCTTCTCCTCACCCTCCTTCCGCAATCCGCCACAGAAAAGGAATCCTTCTGTAACCCGCCGTAAAGAGAATCGGGTTGTAGTCCGCCGCCAGAGGAATTCTTGTCTCACGCGGCACAGAAGGATTTTCCGTTACGCCACAGGGGGAATGCATGTGCATTCCGCCGCAACGGGAATCCTTATGCAATCCACCACAAAAGGAATCCTTGAGCAACCCGCCACAAAAGGGAATCCTTGTGTGCCTCGCCACCAAAGACATTCGTTTCTATCCCGCCACGAAAGACATCTGTTCGCACCCCGCCCAAGAAGCGTTCCTTTTGTATTCTGCCGCAACAGGAACTCGTTCGCAACCCACCACAAAAGGAAATCCTCTTGCATTACACCAGGGCGCGTGCGCTGCGCGCGACCCAGCGCGGGCAGCTTGCGCGCCAGTGCCGGCACAGTCGAGCCCGCCTTTTGCTGCGACCCGCTCGCCCGACGCATGACGGGCAGGCATCTGGCCTCGTCACGCGGAGCGTCAGGACAAGAGCGCTGGCCACGCGGAGGGGCAGGAGAGGCAAGCCGAGGAGGACGACGCTCACCACGGGAAGCACGCGTTCGCTTCGGCGCAGAGGGCTGTGGCTTCCGCCAGCAGCGAGGCGGCAGCGGCAGGAGACCGCGGCGAGCGCGCACAGCGAAACGACGCCATTGATCGACTGCGCACGTGTGGGTGCGCAGGCACGTCAGCTGCAACAGACAAGGTGGCACCCCAACACTGGCCCAGAGCTTGACGACAGAACAACCGAGGGCACGAGCCGAAAGGCAATGGCGACAGAGAGGGAGCAACAGCAGCCAACCTGGAGCCGACGCATGCAATGGTGCGTTCGCTACTCTGCAGGATGATGATGGTGAGGATGCACCAGTATCCTGTGTGTCTGCGAGGTTTTTGAAGTTGAAGTCGCTACAGGCGCAAAACAATCGGATTCCTCCTCCTCCTCCTCCTCCTCCTCCTCCTCCTCACTACCATCACCATCACCACCACCCGAGTCCCGCTCCTCCTCCTTCTCCTCCTCCTCCTCCTCATCATAATCTTCCTCATGGGCTCATCATCCTCATCCCTTCCCCCTCACCTAATCCTTCATTCATCCTCATCATCCCCCTCTCCTTACCATCATGTTCCTCCTCCTTCTCCTCCTGTTCCTCATCATCCTCATCATCACCACATCACCACCATCATCATCCGACATCATCATCCACCACCATCGCAACTATCACCATACCCACCATCACAATGATCGCCATCATCATGATCGAAATCATCGTCATCATTATTGTCCTACTCCCCATCATCAACAGCATCATCATCAGCAGCATCATCATCAGCATCATCAGCACCATCACCACCACCATCATCAACACCTTCACCTACACAAACATCAACATCAGCCTTATCATCCTCATCATCATCGTCGTTATCCTCTCCCACCCCCCTCCCCAAACCCTCCTTCCAGGAGGTGGTGGAGGAGGAGGAGGAAGCGGCGAAGAGAGGGCGCCAATCAACCCCGAGCTGAATGCCCCCATCCCCTTGCGCACCGACACGGCAGAGTGGCGACCGCGAGCACGCTGGCCGCCAGAGAGGCTGCGAGGACAAGGCTACGGGCCTCGTGTGTAATGAGGAGGGGGAAGGATCACTGACCAAGTGCCGAGGCCCACGAGCCATCAAACCGCCATGAGACAGTCCTTCGGGGCTGAAGGATCTGCATGTAGCGAGACACTCTGCGCATGGGAAGAATCCCAGCTCGAAGCCTTCACGTGAGGAGCTGGAAGGAAGAGGACGACAACGACGAGGAGTCATATTCCGGCTCTTGATTACAGTTTGCACCGCATCTGCGTGCCCTTGCAGGCTCCTCAGCCTGTCCGGTGCGACACTTACTTGTGCGTTCATCGAGCGCTGCTGCTGCGTGTTGCTACCCTTCTCCTTACTCGTCAGGCGCTGCGGCCACTGATCGCCCAAGCCGGCGTAACTGCAGAGGAGGAGGTCCACGGCGACGTTGGCGAAGAGAGGGATCAGAGGCTTCTGAAGGCAGGAGTGCATCCAAGAAGCCCCCTGCCTTCTTCAGAGGGCCCCACCCCCTCGCCCCGCCCCCTTCAGCGCGAGGCGCTCGACTCTCGCGGCCCCGCCCGCTGGCGAGGGCGCTCCTGGAACTGCACCTCTTCGATCAGCGCCCGCAGGAGGAAGACCTGCGGGCGCTCCCTTCGCCGATGGACCGCAGGACGGACCCCCAGCTGAGGGGCCAGGGGCTGGCCGGCAGAAGCCCTCGCCCTCCCCCTCCTCAGCCTCCCGCTGATCCTGCCACCACTACTTCTCCTGACCCTCCCCATCCTTCTCCTCCTCCTCCTCCTCCTCCTCCTCCTCCTCCTCCTCCTCCTCCTCCTCCTCTTCTTCTTCTTCTTCCTCCTCCTCCTCCTCCTCCTCCTCCTCCTCCTCCTCCTCCTCCTCCTCCTCCTCCTCCTCCTCCTCCTCCTCCTCCTCCTCCTCCTCCTCCTCCTCCTCCTCCTCCTCCTCCTCCTCCTCCTCCTCCTCCTCCTCCTCCTCCTCCTCCTCCTCCTCCTCCTCCTCCTCCTCCTCCTCCTCCTCCTCCTCCTCCTCCTCCTCCTCCTCCTCCTCCTCCTCCTCCTCCTCCTCCTCCTCCTCCTCCTCCACCTCCTCCTCCTCCTCCTCCTCCTCCTCCTCCTCCTCCTCCTCCTCCTCCTCCTCCTCCGCCTCCTCCTCCTCCTCCTCCTCCTCCTCCTCCTCCTCCTCCTCCTCCTCCTCCTCCTCCTCCTCCTCCTCCTCCTCCTTCCTCTCCCCCTCCTGGGCTCACCGATGTGCTGTCAACCAAACCTGCAGGGTGGGCCCTTCCCATTTCTCTGTGCACTTCAGCTTTGGCTTCGGCTCCAACTGCCGATGCACCGTGAAGTGCCCTCGGACCAGCTCACCCGAGTCGGACGTTCCGCTCGCACGGGTGCTCCCCTCCCCCCCCCACTCCTAGGCTCACGCACGGTCGACCTGACGGCCAAAGGCTGGTCGTTCGAGGCCAGGCGAGTGGTCTTTGGTGACGGCCCAGGCGATCAAAACGATAGCGACGTCCGTAGACGTCGCGTTGGCTCAGCGGCGGTCGAGATGCGACGCACCGACCGCGGCCCAAGAACGCCTGGCAAGATCGGCCTGCGGCCTCGGAGGCCGCAGGCCGACGGCTCCTGGGGCTGAGCTCCGCGCCTTCTCGCTGCGCTGCAGCCTGTCGCAGGGCCCATGCTCTACGCCACTGACCGCGCTCCGCTCCTGCGAGGATGGGAGAAGGGGCTGCAGCGCACCTGCAGCGGTGCGAACGCCGGCCGTTGGCGCCTCATGAAGGCCGCCCTAGCCTCTCCCGGCGGGGAGGTCAAGGTCGGTGGGGCCCCCCGCCACGTCGACCCTACCGACCCCCCCTCCGAGTGGGAGAGGCAGGTGGCCCAGGGGAACGACGCAGCCGACGCGCTCGCGGGTGAAGCCTCGAAGCGCGCGTGGTCTGCTGACTACCTACCATACCACCCCAACCGAACCCGAAGACCCAAGTTCTGGGGGGGGGTAGGCTTCCATGTGTTTTGCCCATGTTCCCCGCCCCCCCCCACTGGAAATGGAGGGTAAATCGGGGCATTCGGGTTGGGTTGGGGTGGTGTGGTGCGTGGTGACATTTGGGAGGCGTGGAGTCGTTCCTTCACAATGATCATCGGGGCGTCTCGGGCAGTCCCTCCCACCCCATCGACCCTGCCCCATTTTGACGACCTGCCAGACCACCCCAACCCAAGCCGAAGACCCGAATTTCGGGTTGGGGGGGGTACGGGTTCAATTTGTGGTTTTTCAATGTTCCCCGACCCGCCCCCCCTGGAAACGGAGGGCAAATCAGGGCCTTCGGGTTGGGCTGGGGTGGTTTGGCAGGCGGCAAGTCAAGGCGGGGCGCCGCTGGGCCTGCGCGCACTGCCACAAGCTGGTGGCTGGCGCCGGGCCTGCTGCATCGTGCGCCACTCCTTGCACATGCCGCGGCAGGTCGCCCCGAGGTGTTCCCCGCAGACGCCACTCGGGAGGCGAAGGGTGAGGGGGACGGAGACTTTTTGAGTTTCACTCCTTGCGCGTGATCTGCTGCCCTCGCCGGGAGGCCCCCCGACGCCGACGCGTGGGGCTGCAGTGCGGCTACGGTGCGCCGTCGCGTGCGCACGCAGGCCTTCGTCTCGGCGTTTCGACGGCCGCTCCCTTAGACTGATGGGGGTTGCCTTCAACCGCCCGGCGCCCACCCCCTCCTCCATTCCTTTTCCTTATAAGCAACTTCTCCCAATCGCACCTCGAAGCCAGTATTTAGGGCGGGCCGGGCGTTTCGCCTGAGACTTCCTCACCACTTACGACTCTGGAGCTTAAAATTGGCCAGAGCTTCACAGATGGATGGCGGGTGGTTTTCAAAATGTGGTTCTCGCCTCAGCGCCGCGCACATTCGTCTTACAAAATTGCAAGAGCTTCACAGCTTAAGGGCGGTTTCTTTTCAAAATGGGGCTCTCGCCTCAGCGCCGCGCATATTCTTTATAAAATGTTGCAAGAGTTGCACGGATGCCCATGATCAGTGTACCAGTGATGGTATTTGGGAAGGATTCAAGCTTATGATGGTGCACAAATTATGTTGGTTCGCGGCGTTCATGTCCCAGGAACAGCGTTCTGGCGTGACTGAGGATCGTCAAGGCGCAACAGTCAGGTTGATTCGTGGCGTTGGCATCCCAAAAAGAATGTCATGGCATGCTACAGGGTCTTCACAAACACTTGTCTTCCAACAAAGCAGTTCACTCAGTCAGAGTGAGGGGGCCGAACGGTCATTCACTGTCCCTGGGTGCGTGGCTGAAGTGGGATTCCGCGGTGCGGATTCTCATTGTTGTTGGTGTTGTTGTTTGTTGTTCTTTGTTGTTGTTTGTTGTCGTCGTCCCACCCGCAACCCGCCCCGCGACCCACCCGCGACCCCACCCGCGACCCACCCCGCGACCCACCCGCGACCCACCCGCGACCCACCCGCGACACACCCCGCGACCCACCCCGCGACCCACCCGGCAACCCACCCGCGACACACCCGCGACCCACCCGCGACCCATCCGGCGACCCACCCCACGACCCACCCCGCGACCCACCCGCGACCCACCCGCGACCCACCCGCGACCTACCCCGCGACCCGCCCGCGGCCCACCCCGCGACCCACCCGCGACCCACCCGCGACCCACCCGCGACCCACCCGCGACCCACCCGCGACCCACCCCGCGACCGACCCGCGACCCACCCGCGACCCAAACCACGTTCAAGGTACAAACCACCATTTTCGGCGCCTGCGGCGGGTTTTTTTTGCATTCCTTCCAGGTGGAGAGCCCGCGACCCACCCCGCGACCAACTCGCGACCAACCCGCGACCCAAACCACGTTCAGGGTACAAACCACATTTTTCGGCGCCTGCGGCGGGCATCTTTTGCATTCGTTTCAGGTGGAGAGCCCGCGGCCCACCCGCGACCACGTTCAGGGTACAAACCAAATTTTTCGGCGCCTGCGGCGGGCATCTTTTGCATTCGTTCCCGGTGGAGAACCCGCGGCCCACCCGCGACCCATTCCACGTTCAGTGTACAAGCCAATTTTTTCGGCGCCTGCGGCGGGCTGCTTTTGCATCCTTCCAGGTGGAGGTGGAGAGCCCGCGACCCACCCGCGACCCAAACCACGTTCACTGAACAAACCAATGCCGCACAAGCGCGGCGGCGGATTTTTGCATGCCGTCTGAGCCCGCAAGGACCTCTTCAAGCCCCGCGCATCCACACCAGCCCGTCCAGCAACTTTGCCCTGGCGAGTTGCCTTGATCAGAGAAGTCGGGGAGCATAAAGTGGAAAAAGGATTGCGTTGCCGTTATCTTGGGAAAGGAGAGGGAGGCAGGAGGAGTAAACAGGGGAGGAGGAGGACGCGAAAGAAGAGAGGATGTAAGGATAATGTGGAGAAAGAGGAGGAAGAGAAGAGAGGAGGAGGAGGAGGAGGAGGAGGAGGAGGAGGAGGAGGAGGAAGGAGGAGGAGAGGAGGGAGGACGGAGGAGGAGAGGGGGGAGGAGGGGGAGGAGGGGGAGGAGGAGGACGAGGAGGGGGAGGAGGGGGAGGATGATGATGATGGACGACAATGGGAGGACGATGATGGAGGCCGATGAGGGGGAGGACGACAATGGGAGGACGATGATGAAAGGACGAGGGGGGGAGAGGGAGGACGAGGAAGAAGAGAAGGAGGAGGAGGAGGAGGACGAGGTGGAGGAGGAGGATGACGATGACGATGAGGACGGGGACGAGGAAGATGAGGAGGAGGAGGAGGAGGAGGAGGAGGTGGAGGAGGAGGAGGAGAGCGCCATCGACAGGGAAGGTGGGGGCCACGAGATCCGCCGGCTCGACGACGCCCGCGTCGCCCGCGCCCGCCCCCTCACTCTTATCCGCACTTGCGGGGTGCTACGTAAGAATTAACCATGTATGGGCCTAAGAAGATGGAGCTTGGAGGGAGGGTGTACTCCGACATTTGTGATGCCGATTGGGTTTACACTGGTCCTCCTCCTCCTCCTCCTCCTCCTCCTCCTCCTCCTCCTCCTCCTCCTCCTCCTCCTCCCCTTCCTCCTCCTCGTCCTCCTCCTCCCCCTCCTCCTCCTCCTCCTCCTCCTCCTCCATTCCTTCTCCGTCTCCCTATAAAAAGATGTTCCCGGTCGCACACCGAGGCCATTTTTTTCGGCGGGCCGGGCCTTTCGCCTGAGACTTCTCACCACCTACGACTCTGAAGCTCAAAAAGTGACGACTGTTTCACACATGGAGGGCGGGTGGTTTTGAAAAGGTGGCTCTCGCCTTAGCGCCGCGCACATTCGTTTTCAAAATTTGCAAGAGCTTCACGGATTGAGGGCGGGTGGTTTTCAAAATGTAGCCATCGCCCTAGCACCGCGCACATTCGTGTTAGAAATTGACAAGGTTTCACTGATTGAGGGCGGTCAAAATGTGGCTCGCGCCTAAGTGCCGCGCACATTCGTTTAAAGAATTTGCAAGAGCTTCACGGATCGAGGCAGCTCTCCCTCCGCCTCCCTCCCCCTCCTCCTCCTCCTCTTCCCCGTCGTCCTCCCTCTCCGCTCCCTGCCCAGGACCCCCTGGCGGCGGGGGGCTCAACCTGCGCGTCGTAGCCGTAGAGACAGACCAGTTGGTGAAGCTCCGCGACCTCCAGCGTACCGGCGGCCGGCCGCGCCCCTCTCCTTCCCCCTCCCTCCCCCTCTCCTCCCTCCTCTTCGGCCTTACCCCTCCCTCCGCTCTCTCCCACCCCACCCATCGGCCCCCCTCTGCGTTCGCGCTCCCCTATTCCCCGTTCCTGCCCCTTTTCTTCGGCTTTCCTCCCTGACCCTCCCATTCCATTTCTCCCCTCTCTCCTCTGCCGTGGTCCTTTTTCTCCTCCTCCTCCTCCTCCTCATCATCATCATCATCCTTCTCCTCTTTTCCTCCTCTTCTCCGCCTCCTCCTCCTCCTCCCTCCTCCTCCTCCTCCTCCACCTCCTCCTCCTCCTCCTCCTCCTCCTCCTCCTCCTCCTCCTCCTCCTCCTCCTCCTCCTCCTACTGGTCGTCCGCCCTGGTTTCCTACCCATCCTTCTCCTTTTCCTCCTTTCCCTCATTCCTCCTTGTCCCACCCCAACACCCTTTCGCCTGGCCCCTGGTTCCCTCGCAAAATGACATTCAAGGATCAGTGCATTATGATTCGGCACCTGGATTGACGGACGGAAGGGTAAGGGATAAGAGGAAGTAGGATGAGGCCACGTGTGGCATGAGCACTATAGCTTCCCCCATTATGCTCCCTCCTCCTCCACCTCATCTTCCTCCTCCTCATCATCATCATCATCAGCAGCAGCATCAGCATCATCAGCCGCAGCATCATCAGCAGCAGCAGCACCATCATCATCGTCTTCTTCATCATCGTCATCATCAACATCATCATCATCAGCAACATCATCGTCATCACCATCACCATCATCATCATCATCATCATCATCAGCAGCAGCAGCAGCAGCAGCAGCAGCAGCATCGTCATCATTATCATCATCACCACCACCATCATCATCAGCAGCAGCATCAGCATCGGTATCATCATCACCCGCATCCTCATCATTATCATCAGCCGCAGCAGCAGCATCGTCATTCTCACTCCCATCATCATCATCATCATCATCATCATCATCATCATCATCAGCATCATCATCATCAGCAGCAGCAGCAGCATAATCATCATCATCATCATCATCATCATCATCATCATCATCATCATCATCATCATCATCATCATCAGCAGCAGCATCATCATCATCATCATCATCATCATCATCTTCATCATCATCAGCATCATCATAATCAGCATCAGCGACAGCAGCATCATCATCATCATCATCATCATCATCATCATCATCATCATCATCATCATCATCATCATCATCATCATCATCATCATCATCATCATCATCATCATCATCATCGTTATCATCAGCATCGTCATCCTCAGCATCAGCATCAGCATAAACATCAGCATCTTCATCATTCCTCATCCTCCTCCTCCTCCTCCTCCTCCTCCTCCCCGCCTGCCCTCCCTCCCTCCCTCCTTCCCGTCTCCTCCTCCTCCTCCTGCTGCTCCTCCTCCTCATCATCATCACCTCCTTCAAAGCATCTACAGCATGATCCATCACTTCCATCAGCATCATCAGCATCTGCATGGGGCTCTATGCTGCTGCTGGCACAGGGCTCCCGTGGTCGGTGTGTTGGCCGTCGAGCCGAGCGTCGAGCGAGGCAAGCAGAGCTGCGGATCCGAGTGAGGGGCCAGGCCTCTTTGATGATTCGTGCAGTCATGAAGCCCAGGACCTGGTGCTACCGACCCCACCCCCAGCCCCGCGCCCTTGCCCGCCCATGCGACGCACACCCCGTCACCGGGAGGGGGGGAGAAAGGTGGAGGAAGAAGGGAGGAACGGGGTGAGGGGGATGGAGGAAGGGAGGAGGGAGGAGGGGGGGAGGAGAGCTGAGGGAGGGAGGCAGAAGAAGGGGGAAGGGAGAAGGAGGGAGAGGGAGGGAGGGAGGAGGGAGGTGGGGAGGAGGGAGCGCTGAGGAGGGAGGCAGAGATACGGGAGGGAGAAGGGAGAAGGCGGGAGGGAGGGAGGGAAAATCCGGGGGGGGGGGGTAGTGCAGGGAGGGGGAGGGAGGGGAGGGGAGGGAGGCGAGGCGAGGGGAGGGGGAGAAGGAGGGAGGGGAGGGAGAAGGGAGAAGGAGGGAGGGGAGGGAGGGGAGGGGAGGGGAGGCGAGGGGAGGCGAGGGGAGGGGAGGGGAGGGGCGCCGCGCCCGTCTGCCCCTTCTGAGGCCCCTGGCAGGGGGGGCGCGGGGAGCACCGTGGCCGCCGCCTCCGGCGGACACGAGCGAGAGAACGCTGCCGTGGGGGGCATTGAAGAAGGAACCCTCAGACGAGGAATCCCAGGGTCCAGAAGCCAGTGGAACTCCCATCGTGGATCGGCCATGGGCATCACCGCCGCCCTCAGGGGGTAAGGAATGCTCCAGGGTCTGGAGCCTCCTGGGCACATTCCTTCACCAACGCCCCCACCTTGTGCTGCCTGCCCCAGGACGGAAGAACAGCCTCCCAGAGCATGAGACCCTCCGCCAGCCAAACCGAATCACCTTCGAGGGTGCTCTCCCCGAGGATGCACAAGAGCACCCCACGAACACGGAGAACATCAGGGAACCCTCCCCGAGCGGGCCTCGACCTTATAGCTCGGTCCGACCGTTTGGGTCCGCCGGGCGCCAGCTCAGGGATGAACCCCGCGCTGGCCCAGGAGGGACGCAGAGCTCCAATCGGGTGTTGCTGCTGTTGTTGCTTATGTTGGTATTGTTGTTGTTGGTTTTGCTGGTATTGCTGAAACTGTTGATGGTGTTGTTTTTGGTGGTGCTGTTGGTGTTGCTGTTGGTGCTGCTGCTGTTGCTGGTGGTGGTGTTGTTGCTGGTGCTGCGGCTGTTGCTGTTGTTGCTGCTGCTGCTGTGGCTGTTGCTGTTGTTGTTGCTGCTGCTGCTGTTGCTGCAGCTGAGATCTCATCTCTGAATAGTAACTACACCCTGCGAAATGCTTAAGAAATCATGGGTTAAGAAATTCATAGTCTCAGAACTGGAATAAAAAAAAACCAACAGTTCTATACAAATCTTAAGATTTACATTGAAACGTTAAGAATAATCAAGACTCTGGCCGAAAACTTAAGTTTTCTTCAGCATCGCCCAAGGTGTATGGTTGATCCCCCCCGGCTTCCCCAGCAGGCGCGAGTGGCGGCCAGAGCACGCCCCACGAGCCCCGAGGCCCCCGGGAGGCCGCGAGAACTGGGCGCACCCCCCGGCCGGGGGCCACTCCACGCCGCACCCCGCCCCGCGAACCTCTCCACGAACTCCCCAGGCATCTATGCAGCGTGCCTCCTCCTCCTCCTCCTCCTCCTCCTCCTCCTCCTCCTCCTCCTCCTCTCCTCCTCCTCCTCCGCCTCCTACCTCCTCCTCCTCCTCCTCCTCCTCCTCCTCCTCCTCCTCCTCCTCCACACACCTCCTCCTCCTCCTCCTCCTCCTCCTCACTCCTGATCCTCCTCCTCCTCCTCCTCCTTCCTCCTCCACCTCCTCCTCCTCCCCTCCTCCTCCCCCTCCCTCCTCCTCCTCCTCCACCTCCTCCCTCCTCCACCTCCTCCTCCTCCTCCTCCTCCTCCTCCTCCTCCTCCATCCTCCTCCTCCTCCTCCTCCTCCCCCGCCCCCTCCCCTCCCTCCCCCTCCCCCACCCCCCTCCCCCTCCCCTCCCCCTCCCCCTCCTCCTTCCTCCTCCTCCTCCTCCCTCCCTCCTCCTCCTTCCTCCTCCTCCTCCTCCTCCTCCTCCTCCTCCACCTCCCTCGCTCCGCCTCCTCCTCCTCCTCCTCCCACCTCCCCTCCCCTCCGCCTCCTCCTCCTCCTTCCTCCTCCTCCTCCTCCTCCTCCTCCTCCTCCTCCTCCTTCCTCCTCCTCCTCCTCCTCCTCCTCCTCCTCCTCCTCCTCCCTCCTCCTCCTCCTCCTTCCTCCTCCTCCTCCTCCTCTCCTCCACCTCCTGCCTCCTCCTCCTCCTCCTCCTTCCTCCCTCCTCACTCCTCCTCCTCCTCCTCCTCCTCCTCCTCCTCCTCCTCCTCCTCCTCCTCGCCACACATCGACCCACGGACCTCCACGAACTCCCAAACATCTGCCAGAAACTGAGCTGCCCCGATACGCAACACGCGACACGTAGCTTAGCGATACGGAGCTCAACACGTAGACGGAAACATGTAAGTATGACGCGATACGTTCGCCAATACGCTGAGCCAACACGCAACGCATTCACACGGACGCTTTAAGCACGGCACGTGTTGCGTTCCAAAACAGGCGCATCGAGGCAGCTACGGCCAGAAACCTTCACGGACGCCCGAGACTCCACGAGGCCCCTTCAGATCCAACCAGGGGCCCGCCGACCACCGCCGAGGCCCACGGCAGACGCCCGAAAGGGCGGGGGCACGAAATCTGCAGCGTGCGGCCGGCCGCGGCCCCCTCTGCGGGGCGCCCTTCCCGACACCTCGGCGCCTCTTGCGCCGAGAGGCGCTGGGCTGACCAGCTGCGTGAGCTGCTGCGCTGCCCCCCCCCCCCCTCTGTACGGACTCTCCCCTTCGTCCGACCCGACCACCGAGAGCCGCTGGAGCCCTCCCTGGGCGCAGGACGCTGGACTTGCAGTTCTTCTTGGACAGGTTCGACACGAGGTACCGGATCTGCCAGAAGAGCGGCTGAGCGAACGAGACCATCGGCAGGCGGCGCTGTCCGCGCCTTGGCCCCCGGGCCACCGCCCACCTCCTGCTCCTCATCCTGGAGCGCCTCCACCGCCGCCGCCTGCGCCCTCCTTACTCACTCATCCTCCTCACTCCTCCTCATCCTCACTCCTCCTCCTCCTCCTCCTCCTCCTCCTCCTCCTCCTCCTCTCTCCTCCACCTCCTCCTCCTCCACCTCCTCCTCCTCCTTCCACCTCCTCCTCTCCTCCTCCTCCTCCTCCTCCTCCTCCACCTACCTCCTCCTTCCTCCTTCCTCCGCCTCCTCCTCCTCCCTCCTCCTCCTCCTCCTCCTCCACCTCCTTACTCCTCCTCCCCTCCTCCTCCTCCTCCTCCTTCCTCCTCACCTCACACCTCCTTCCTCCTCCCCATCCTCCTCCACCTCCGCCCTTCCTCCTCCTCCGCCTCCTCCTCCTCTCTCCTCCTCTTCCTTCTCCCCCTCCACCTCCACCTCCTCCTCCGCCTCCTCCTCCTCCGCCTCCTCCTGTCCCCTCCTCCTTCGCTGTTCCTTATGCATGATTCCTCTCTGTCGCGCTCCCAGACGTGTCGGCAGGGCAGGTCAGGCGTTTCGCCTGAGACTGCCTCGCCACTTGTGACCCTGAAGCTTGGAATCTGCAACGGTAGCACTGATGGAGGGCGCGTCCAATCCAAAACGTGGCTCTCGCCATAACGCCGCCTTGAAATTCGCAGCAATTTCAGAAACGGAGTGTGGGTCGTTTGCAAAATGCGGCTCCGTGAAAATTCGTTTTTAAACGCTTGCATCCGTTCCAAGGATTCGCATGGCCGAAATCACAGGAAGTGCTATCTGGAACGACTTAGAATCAGCACGCAGAAATCACGATGATTCGTTGATGATGACATGAGCGGTGTTCGACCATGGTGTAAGATTGCCAGGACGCATCAGTCACGTGGATCCGCGGCGTGGAAGTCCCAATAAAGGGGTTTTGGCACGGTCGACGACTCTCAGACGGTTGTCCTCTGACGGGCCACTTCCCGCAATGAAAACATAGAGGGAACTTGGAGGGAGGGTTTGCTGCAACATCGTTGATGCGTCTTGGGCTCCTCGTCCTCCTCCTCCCCTTCCTCCTGCTCCTCCTCCATACCCTCCTCCCCCTCCGCAGTGGAAGATTGACGAAACGTATGCTTTGGGGCGCGGGCCCTGGCTTACTGCCCGCACAATGATAAGCCGCGAACCCCGCAAACGAGATCGTACAAGCCTACATCACATCCACTTCTCTGATTCTCGCTCTGCGAGCTATTGATCTTAAACTGCACCTCGACGAGCATCCTCAAGCAACCTTTTCGATGTGAGCCAAGCTTTGATCACATCAGGCATACAATGTTCACATACCATTTGAGAAGTTCACCACCTTCAAGAGGTATCCCGTGACAGACGCATCTTGCCTTTGCGAAGCTTTCTTCGTACAGAGGGTCGTTGGTTCGCCTCGCTGGAAAAACTGCTACTCCTCCTCCTCCTCCTCCTCCTCCTCCTCCTCCTCCTCCTCCTCCTCCTCCTCCATTTCAATTCCTTTTCCTTGTAGAGAACTCCTCCCTGTCGCACCCCCAGGCCGGTTGAAAGGGCGGGCCGGGCATTGCGCCTAGGAAGAGGTCCTTACAACTTATGGTTCTGGAGCCTGACATTTCCAAACCTTTCACGGATGGTGGGCTGCTCCTTGTGAACAGTTGGCTTTCGCCGTAGCGCTGCGCACATTCGTCGTACAAGTCTCCAGAAGCTTAACGGGTGAAGGGCGGCTCCTTTCCAAAATATGGTTCTCGCCTGAGCGCCGCGCACACTCGTCTTAAGAGTCTGCAACAGATTCATGGATGGATGGCGGCCCGCTTTCAAAATGTGGCTCTCGCCTGAGCACCGCGCACATTCGCCGCTTAAGGTTTGCAAGAGCTTCACGGATGGAGGGCGGTTCCTTTTCAACATGTGGCCCTCGCCTTAGCGCCGCGCACATTCGTCTCAAGAGTTTGCAGCAATTTCAAACATTGTCATGGCGAACGTCCCAGAACTGGCGTTTCGGCACGATGTCAGAATGTCAGGGCGCAACCGTCACGTTGGCTCGCGGAGTTGAAGTCCCCGGAATGGCGTTTTGGCACGATTGCGAAGTTTCAAACAATTGTCTTCCAACGGGGCAATTCCCTTAGTGATAATAAATCCGTGTAGGAGCCCATGAAGAGGGAACTTGGATGGAAATCCATGTGCATTATCGTCGATGAGTCTTGGGTTTGCACTGGTCCTCCTCCTCCTCCTCTTCCTGACTCCCTCCTCGTCACTCCCTCCTCCTCCTCCGTCTCTTCCTCCTCCTCCTCCTCCCTCCTCCCTCCTAGTCCTAGTCCTAGTCCTAGTCCTAGTCCTAGTCCTAGTCCTAGTCCTAGTCCTAGTCCTAGTCCTACGTAGTCCTAGTCCTAGTCCTAGTCCTAGTCCTAGTCGTAGTCCTCCTCCTCCTCCTCCTCCTCCTCCTCCTCCTCCTCCTCCTCCTCCTCCTCCTCCTCCTCCTCCGAATCATTCTCCCACTTCCTCAACCCCCTCATTCTCCTCCTTTCCCCTGCGCCTTCCTCCATCCCCCATCCCTCTCCCCCTCCGTCCACCATCTCCTTCGCCTCTGACCATTTTCCGTACGACCGAAAATCGTTTTCGAAGTGTCTCCTACTCCTCCTCCCTCCTCCTCCCTCCTCCTCCTCCATCCTCCTCCTCCTCCACCTCCTCCTGCCTCCTCCTCCTCCTCCTCCTCCTGATCCTCCTCCTCCTCCTCCTCCTCCTCCTCCTCCTCCTCCTCCTCATGATCCACCTCCACCACCTCCTCCTCCTCCTCCTCCTCCTCCTCCTCCTCCTCCTCTTCCTCCTCCTCCTCCTTCTCCTCCTCCCCAACCTTCCATGTCCCTCCAGTGCACCCCTCTTAGGCTCCCCCCCTCCACTCTACCCACGTCCTCCTCCGTAGGGTCTCCCCCGTTCTCCTTCATCACCCCTTCTGGGCTTTTCTCGTCCCCCCCCCCATCCTGTCCACCCCTCTGGGCCCGCCTCCCTATGTCCCACTACCTCTCCTGCCTTTCTCCCCGCCCCCCTCCGGGGGCCCTGAGATGCAAAAGGACGGGGGAGCAGGGAAGGAGGTGGGACGGGAGGGACGGGGACGGGGACAGGGATGGGGACAGGGATGGGGACAGGCATTGGACGGGGATGGGATGAGGGTAGAGATGAACGGAGAGGGTGGCAAGGAGAGGGACGGGAACGGGGACAGGACAGGGACCAGCACGGGGGCAGGCACGAGGACGGGAGTGGAAACGGCGATGGACGTGGGGACGGGAGCGGGGACGCCACGGGGGAGCGGGGCGGCGAAGGAGACGCGAGGAGGGGGGCGCAGGCCGCTGCGCCTCCCCGCAGGGCACGCGTGCCGAGCGGGGGAGGCCAGCTCGGGCCAGCGGGCACGGCGACGGGCGACGGCGCGCCCCGAGCGGCAGGACGAGAGGCCCGCCCCGCCCCCTCGCGGCGGAGAAGGAGGGGGCGGGAGCGAGGAGGAGGAGGAGGAGAAGGAGGAGGAGGAGGAGGATGGGGAGGAGGAGGAGGGCGGAGGAGATGGGGAGGAGGAGGAGGAGAGGAGGAGGAGGGGAGGAGGAGAGGAGAGGAGGAGGCGGAGGAGGAGAGGAGAGAGAGGAGGAGGAGGAGAAAAGGAGTAGGAGGGCGAGGAGGAGGAGGCGGGGGATGAGGAGGAGGATGAGAGAAAGAGGAGGAGGAGGAGGAGGAGGGGCGGAGAGGATGAGGTAGGAGGAGGGGGGCGAGAAAGGGAAGGGAGGATGAGAAGGACGAGAAAGGTAGGGATGAATCCCGCAGGAACACCCGGGCAGGAGCGGAGGCCCCTCGGGGGCGGCGGGCGGGCAGAGGCGCCGCCGCCCCTGCCGACAGGGGCGCCTCCTCCCGCGGCGGGCTGCAGCCCCGGGCCGCCGCGGCGGCGGCGGCGCCCGTTGGGGGCGCGCCCGCGCCCCCCTGGGCGGGCAGAGGACGACGACGACGGCGACGGCGACGACCACGACGACGACGACGACGGCGACGACGACGACGACGACGACGACGACGACGACGACGACGACGACGACGACGACGACGACGACGACGACGACGGCGGCGGCGGCGGCGGCGGCGGCGGCGGCGGCGGCGACGAAGGCGACGAAGGCGGCGGCGGCGGCGGCGACGACAAGCGACGGCGGCGGCGGCGGCGACGACGACGACGGCGGCGACGACGACGACGGCGACCACGACGGCGACGACGGCAACGACGGCGATAACAACGATAATGACAGCGATGACGACGGAGGCGGCGATGGCAGCGGCCATGACGAGAGCAGCGGCGGCGATGGCGGCGACGAAGACTGCAGGGCGCTGTCACTCCAGGAACGGTGTCATTTCTTCAACACGATGACGGCGATGAAGACTACGACGGCGACGACGACGACGACGAAAACACCGGCGACGACAACAACAACGACGACGGCATTCTTGCAAACACGTGATCTGACAAGCTGCTTTGGCCCTCATTGGTTTCTCCCTCTCCCTTATACCCGCCCGCTAAGTCTACGAACAAAAAATCCTCCTTGGGGAGCTCCATTCCACAACAGCTCCTGGGAGCACTCAGCAGTGCAAGCTGTGTGCGCACCGCGATACCATGATCATCATGCGAGCTGTCGCGCCTGCGGGCAACTCGCCAGCTCGAGCGAATTGCGAGGAAGTCTCCAGAGACCGTTCCTGAGTTTGTGGGGCCTCCAGGGCGTCTCAGAGATAACTGTGAGGACGTACCGAGCGGGAACCACTGCCGTCGTAGCTGGGCTTGTGCCCACACGAATGCCTTACGAGGAGGTATCGGGCGAAAACGCCCTTCCTGAGCGTGACAATGCAGGTGGCCAAGGCGCACGCGAGGAAAGTACAAAGAATGATCGAACGGGAGCCGTTGTCGTCTCAGTCCGGCCTTCACCACCTTGAGCAAATTGCGAAAAAGTCTCGGGCGA